TGTTCTGTGTGATGTATTGGGTACTAGGGAGAGGATTGGGCACCACCGCCACCTGTGAGGTTATTTCGGGGGGAGGTATGTTCTGGAACCCTGGGCTGGAGAGTGGAAGCTCTTTTTCACATAGAAACATAGAAACAGTGGTAGCTGGTATTTCACTGTCCGGCTTCATTGTGTATGAAAGAGGCCTGTGTAACATATTCTGTACGATTAATCACCATTCATGGCATTTCCTTTGGGAAATTTCAGTCAGTTTCCAAAAAACAGTTAACCTTTTTTTTTAATTGCAGAAAGTTTTAAACATATAAAAGTGGAAGAGTGTAATGAACCTGCATGCGCCCACCACCCAGTCTTTTTTTTTTTTTTTTCCCCACCACCCAGTCTTAACAGTCACCATCCCATCCCATGGTCAGTGTTGTTTTGTCTTTCCACCACCACCACTCCCCCTCGCCCCAAATGCCACCCTTGATATGATGAAGCAAATCCCAGATTTCATAGCATTTTGCTCATATATATTTTAGTAATGTCTAAAAGAGAAAGACTTAAAAAATACAACCTCAGTACCATTCTATCTTAAGAAAATTATCAAAAATTTATTAAGACCACCCAATACCTAGTTTTCACATTTCCCTGTTGTCTTGTAAATATTCTTTTGTGGTTCCACACGTTCCCATCAGGATCTAAACAGGGTTCATACATTGTATTTGGTCGCTTCTCCCTTAAGTCCGTTTTATTCTATATGTTCCGCTTCCTTCCTCTTTTCCTTGCAGTGAAATTGTTGAAGAAACCATGTTGCTTGTCCTGTAGTGTTTCCCACATTCTGAAGTTTGCTCACCGCATCCCTGGAGTAGTATTTACTATTTTTCTCAGTCTCTCATATTTCCTGTAAACTGGTAGTTAGATTTAGAAGCTCAGACAACTCGCTTTGCTTACAGGCCCTTTGTGTGTTGGGGACTATGTGGGTGAGGTGAATGTGGTTTTCACACGTAAAAGCATATCGTGGGCCTCATTTGATATTGTCAAGTAGTGTGAGATACACTCCCCTCCTTTCTGACCTGCCTCTGATTTGAAAAGATTAACCTAAGTGACAAATTTGGAAATGGCTATTGCCCCTGTTTTTCACTTATTTTTAATTTAAAATGAGAAATGTAAGGATATTAGAGGCACTGGAAGAGGAAATGCTGTGACTTGAACACCTGTATTGTGTATTCCAGTCTCGTCTTTGTCGTTCTGCAGGTTTGCACGTGCCAAGTTGTCATCCTGGTTAGCGTAATACTTTGTAGTCGGCTTGTATTTTATAAATGTTTTTCTGTGTTGTTACATAGTCCTCTGAATAGCAGTCCTGATGACAGCATATTGTTCCCTCGTTAGACGCACCACAGTTGATTTAACTCTTCCCCTGTTGCTGAGCCTTTATTCTCGGTCTGCATTTTTACATTAGAGCTTTGATAGAGTAGCCGTCTTTATTCACATCACTATTAACTTCATTTGGATTAAATACTGAGGATAGAAATTCTTGGAAATGGGATTATGAGTATCTTTATGGGTACATATGTTTGTTGTCCAAAAGGGAAATTACAGAGCTCTCTATTTCAGAGCTCTCATTTTTCTGGAACTTACCCTAATTCAGCCCCAACCCCCCCTGAACATCTCTAGTTCCTGATTCCAGAGGACACTTACTTTGCATATGGGAAAATGTATTTAAGTATGGGGATGAATGGAATTATTCGATGAAAAATGTCAGACTAGTTAGTATTTTGTTTTTGGGTGTGAAAAAGAAGAACCTTTCAAAAGAGTTTGTTCTTGACAACTCAAATATGGGTCTAGATCTACACTGTCCTATATCGGAGCCACTAGCTGCATGTGGCTGTTAAGCATTTAAGATGTGACTAGTCCAAGTTGACATGTGCTCAAGTGTCACACATCAGATTTCAAAGACTTAATACAAAAAAAAGAATGTGAAATATCTCATTAATATTTTTTACATGGATTATAGGTTGAAATGATAGTATTTTGGATGCCAATATTGGGTTAAACAGAATATTTTATTAAAATTAATTTCACCTTTCTCTTTTTACCTTTTTTAAATGTGACTACTTGGAAATTTAAAAGTGTACATGTGGCTTGCATTTCATTTCTAGCTCTGGTCTAGATACTCTTGGGGCAGCGTGTCTGGAAAAGAGGAGGCTGTAGTTAAGGCTGTAACTAAGGGTTATCTTGGGAAAGAGAAAGGAGCCAGTGACTCAGGACAGCACAGTACAATTCACAGTGACCCCGTGCATACCACGAGCAGCTCAGACAAAGGTGGTTTCGCAGTTCTGATACCCTGAGGCTGATGTAAGAGGAGATCCCGTGAGTAAGATTGAATTACGAGTTGCCCCGTTCCCGTGCTGAGCGGATTGCAAAGTGGTGGTGAATATCTCTGTACCATCCTCTCTTTCTCTCCTTGTTCTGTTTAGGTTCTATGCCCGGGACTCTGGTCTGCTCAAGTTTGAGATCCAGGCAGGCTTACTGGGCCGCCCCATCAACCACACAGTGCGGCGCCTTGTTGCATTCACCTTTCACCCTTTTGAGCCTTTTGCTATTTCCGTGCAGAGGACTAATGCCGAGTACGTTGTCAACTTCCACATGCGACACTGCTGCACGTAGGTGCCTCACCAGAGCCCCGTTACCTGGTCTTCCGAAACGTTGCCCCCTTCTTGTCTCAGTGGACTCTGAAGCAAAAGCTCCTGCCTGCCGGCTTTGTTGGTTCCAGATGGTTATACCTCAGTTGGGGAGAGCCGGAGAGAGGAGCGAGGGTGGCCCAGCCAAATGGAATTTTTATCGTATCCAACTACTGATTGATTGCAAGTCCTCTGGTCCTTTCCCTGTGGGAATGCCCAGCATTAATTAAGTCCAGTTAGTTTTTGTTCTGTTTTGCATTTTATTGCTATATGAAGATGACAGCATTACACCTTCCCCCCCCTTCATGTCCATTCTTTGGCATTATGGTATGCGGTCTGAAGTGGGTACATCTTTGCTCACGGGAACTGTGTCCATCTTTCCACGTAGCCGACAGCAGGGCTATCTTTATATAAAGAGAACACAAATAAAGCCTTGGTATTTTCTTACTTAAATATATCCTGTTTGCTGACTGCCTTCTGTCCCGATCTCACCGAATACTTTTGACATTTGTGGTTCCAGGAGGGACTGTGAAAGGGACTGGAGGCCATGGCTCCAGCAGCTGCCCTGGGGAGAGCGGAGTGGTGTGTGCCGGCACGGAAGACCGTTATCTGTCAGGATTGCCGTCTTCCCTGGGGTTTCGTCCTGGTAGTCGTTACAGCTGGAGGGGCCAGGCATAACTGCACGTTGTCATGTGGAAGCACGCTCCCATCTGCACGGTGTCATGCAGGTGGGAGGGTGATCCGTTCTCTGGGGCCGTAGCGGATACAGACACCGTGTAGCACGCACAGCAGTTGGGTCGTGAGAGCTGGCAGGCTCCACGCGTCCCTAAAGAGATCAGACTGACTGCTCCTGGATGGCCCGGCCGTCACCGCTCCTCCGAACACCTGCTGGCCCCCAGCCAGCCTCCTTCTGTGCGGTCTCAGCCAGTGTCCTCCGGCGGGCTCGTGAGGCTGCTTCTGTCTCATCCGCATAACGTATCCCCCGCTTATGGAGTCAGCTTGTTTAGTAGCACCTGACTTTGAGAGCAGCTTGAAATGTTGGATTTCAGAGCAGGTTGTGGAAAGAGTCACGGATGCGAACAGATGGATTCCGTATCCCTCTGCCATCCAGATCGACCTCCCTTGGGAGCATAACAAATGTGATAGGAGATACAGAGCCCCACCAAAACCAGTTCAGCTAATTTCATCATCCTCAATATCGAACGGCTGCATTCATTCTCATTCAGCGTGCAGCACAGGATTTGAGCGCCAGCTGTGGGTCGGGTAGATGCTGTGCTGAGATCTGGCGGATGAGACAAATAGGCCAATAAAGAGAATTATAATGCAGAATGGCAGAAGCCCCAGTAGTGGTTCTCTGGGAACAGTGGAGAAGGATGAAGGAGAGGTGGAGGAGGAGAGCCATACTGGGGAAGGGACACTGGAGCCGGACAAACAGGAGTCTGTTGTGTGGACCAGGGCAGGGGACGTTTCGAGGAGAGAGCCAGCGTGCACAAAGGCGCGGAAGCGTGAACAGGGCTGTCAGGGCTGTGGAATGGTAACGAATACGGCTGCAGCACAGGCTGTGGGGAGGCCGGGGGAGTGTGACCGAATCATGAAGAGAAGTCTTGTGTGTGGTGTTAGGGTTTGTGCGGTGGAAGACGTGATCCGAATTTCACAAAGACTGTCTTTAGCAGTCTGGAAGGTGGTTTGGAGGCGGGCCGACAAGCCAGTGGTGGTAATCCAGAGGAGAAGAGGAGGGTTTGAATGACCTCACTGGGCTTCTGGAAGGATGAAATACTGAGGCATTCTCCTAGATTCTTTGCAGGTCATGACAAAATCAGGATCCCAAAGCAGTCACACGTTTGTGGGGACTCAACCAATCTTTCGTGGTTGAAGCCCTTCACCTGCAGCTTTCTTCTGTGCCAGGTTGCTTGACTGTACCTGAGGGACTGGGGAGTGGAGTCACTCGGGCTGCAGTGGGAATCCCCGCCCTTCTGCCCAGTAGGTCTGTGACCCTGGGCGGTGTCCTAGCCTTTCTGAAGCTTAATGTGTACTTCCTGTCGCCTTACTCCTCCATTCTCCTGGTCGTATCTCCTGTCTTCCATCTCGTCTAACTCCCCAAGCAATTCTCCTACGCTTTCCTGCTCTGTTTACTCTCCCACTCGCTGAAATTGCCGTTTGACACCTTCATTCCTCTTCCAAAGCCCACCTGCCTTTTCTCCCTGATCACCTTGCCACCCACTTCCAGATGGAAGTGGAAACAATCACGTGGGGGAATTGCCTTATCTTTCTTTCACCATGTCAACCCCGTGACTTGTGTCTATGTTCCTCGCCTGCTTTTCCTCCGGAGTCCAGTAGCCTTGCTTCCCTAAAAGGCCAACTCCTCCCCGTGCTCACTGAATCCTGTCTCTTCTAGACTTCTCAACTTCTTCACTCCTGCAATTATTCTTTACTGTATCTTCCTCTTGATAGGTCATTTCTACTAGCACATTAGATACACTCTAGGACGTTCTTTTTTTAAAGATTTTATTTTATTTATTTATTTTTTTTTTAATTTTTTTTTTCA